TTACTTATGCTTATTTCCTCTTTTACAATCTCCTTAACTCTTTCCTCGTCAATTTATTCTCAACAGTCTTTTCTAGGGAGGAAATTCTCTCCTCATAATTCTCCATTATTTGTTTGTACCTTCTTTCAATTTCAATATCTGTGACTGCATGGCTGCTCCATGATTATCTTGCATGTCCCACAAAACCACATAGCGTCTGTTTTACATAGCATAGTGTACTCGGTTTTTGTTTTCTTTAGGCAAGCTATGCAGAAATGCTCCTTGCACCTTTGGCATTCCATAAGTTGGGCATCGGGCTCCTTAAAGATTTTTGTACATTTTGCACATGTCAATGCTTCTTCATCATCCTGACTTGTTTTTTAATGATGATTTTGAGTTTGTGATACTATTTTACCTGGTTCCCGCCATTTTCTCTTTAATTTATGAAAAATAGGGCTTCCCTTAATCTCTTGTTCACCTTTCTTTTACAGCAAATAAAATTTGTATAAGGCTTCCTTGTACCAAAAATATATTTGTAGATTTAATTATTATTATTTAATTATTAGTTAAAGGACAAGGCTTCCCTATCCTTATCTTTTTTAGATTTTCAACAGAAGCTAGAGTATCCTAATATGACAGGGCTTCCCTAGGACGGGTTTGATTTATTCAGGGACAAGGCTTCCCTGTCCTGTGACAGTATCTTTCAGAAAAAGGCTACCCTATCTCTCACGTTTAGGTATTAGTTAGATTATTTTATTATTTATCTTTCTTTTTTTTTTATTGTAACTTTAACCTCTTTAAATTTCTAGGACAAGGCTTCCTTATCCTTGTGACATAGACTGCACGCTCCAGTGATTGAAACAGGGCTTCCCTATTTCCGGATAAATATACACTTAACTTGTTCCTAGGACAAGGCTTCCTTATCCTCACAAAAGTTTTACAGCACTGACCTTTATTATGAAAACAAGGTTTCTTTGTTTTATTTCTGAATTCTGTTCCCTCAAAATTTTATAGCATTGACTTTTAATATGAAGATAAGGCTTCCTTGTTTTCTGTTCCCCTATACAATGAAACTAGGCTTACCTCAATGTAACAGGGCTTCCCTGTTTCGTTTATCTCTGGATTTATCTGTTAGAATATGCTTTTATATTACTCAACTCAAGACGAGGCTTCCTTGTCTGCGGACTACTTTGTTGATCTTTAATTGGCCTCCCTATCCAATTAGTCTCAGTTCTATCCTATCTAGAGTATATATTTTTTACCCTCCCGATATTATAGACTGAACAGGGCTTCCCTGTTCAATCTCACCTCATTAATAATGCTTTGCCCAAACAAGGATTCCCTATTTGGGTTAAATACATAAATTTACCTTCTAACATTTGTGACTGAAACAGGGCTTCCCTATTTCAGTAACACCTGTTCTTTTAGCAGGTTTCGGACACCTCTATAGACAGCTCCACCATTTTATATACCCATAAATTGGAATGTGTTCTGTTTGGTTGTATACCGTCAGATAGCAGTTTATAATTCTTTCTATACCTGACTCTGTTCTTGTTTTTAGGTTTGCTTAATACAATCTGATCTTGGGAGAACCTTGGCGCTGTGTATTTTTTGTAAAGTAATTTTAACTGTCTATTATAATAATCGACCCGGTAATACAGTTCTTTTATCTATATTTGTTGCTTCCGTGACAGATCTATACCCTTTTGTTTTATCAATGACAAGTGCTGGGTAGTGTCTCTTGTTTCCTTGTAAGTTGTATGTTTTAGATACTTTTCTTGTGCCACTGTATTTGTTTATTACTAGAGAGTATTTGCCTGTTTTTGTCTAATTGTTGTTTTGATCTGTTTTGTAGTTGCTTGTGTCCTTCCCTTTTCTAAGCACCTTATTAAATGTAGAGATAAAGTAATACGGGCACTCTAGGAAAATTATAGTGACGTATTTAAAACTTGTTAGTATTCTGTCTTTTAGATCTCTATAACCTGTTAAAATGTACTCTATGTTTTGATAGGGGTAGTCTCTTAAATAGGTATACTTCCCTTTACTTGTAATTTCGCAGGTGCCAAACCAGACTAATATTATAGGGTCTTTTTCTTTTAATTCTTCTATTTTCTTTAGGAGGTTCTCTATATGCTCTTCTGTAGAGGCAGTACTTCCGCTCCTGGCTATAACGTGAAACTTTTCCCGGACACTATCCGGAACCACTTTATTTAGGCTGAAACCCTTGCTATCCTTGAAAAGAACGGTTTCCCTCTTGCCTTTTGAAGAGGTTATAAACCCTTTTATACTCTTTAATGATTTTGTTCACGGACATGAAGTTCAAATAATTACACAATTTCGTGAATTCAAAAATTCAAAATTCCAATATGTCGGCAAAATGCCTAGTGTCAATGAATGCATAGTTCAAAAAGGTGTCACGCTACTCAGACATATAATTAATCCATATTTACAGTTATGTATGACTTATAATATGAAAGCATTTTTATATTTCACAGATTTGACCAATTTATCCCAGAATATCACACTGAAAACTTATCTTTTGATGATTTAACACTATCAAAAGATTTGTGACAATTGTATGCATTTGCACTTTAACAGATTGTAATCTTAACCAAAAATGATAAAAAAAAATTAAAAAAACAGTTATTATAAAAAAAACAGTAATTATAAAAAAAACACCAAATGGAAAGATTATAGTGGTATATATTATGTAATGATGTTTTAATCTATTTGAATAAGGATTAAGATATTCACCATCTTTATCTATGTCCACCTCAGAGAACCCCCCACTCCAATTTGAAATGGATAAGTAACACTAATGTAATGTTATTTGCTCCAGGTAAACTAAATATTACGTCGGAAGGATAAGGTATATTTACAATTTTATGTCGGAAGGTAGGTGTTCTATAATCTAATTTATATTTGTTGTCCTGTTAGACATGCCTTTATAGTTGTATTTTTTTATATTTATGCATATAAATATTAATTCAGTTATTGGGACGAGAAAAATACAGTGAATTAAAATTAGCTTCGATAGTTTTCCTACCAGGGAGATCATTCACAAAGCATCCGTTAGCTAACGGACCCGTTAATATCTCCGTTAAGTTTCCGCTAATTTTAATTCATATTCACAAAGCCTCCGTTAATTAACGCACCCGTTAACGTCTCCGTTAAATGTTCCGTTAAGCCCGATAATTAACGGGTACGTTAACGTATCCGTTAAACGGGCACTTTTAAAGAATGCATTATATATGGATTCGAATTTTATAATATTTCTTATATGCAATACGAAAACGAATACGAAATTTGTTTAATGATTTTTAGTTTAGCAACTATATGCACAGGATATTTTTGTTTATACACAGTTTTGATTTATAAGAAAAACCGACATGGTTAGAAAATACAAATAATAACCCCATTGCAAACACAATTCCATTTTAATATTCTTGTTATGGTAAGAAAATACATAAAATTCCACCATTACAAACTCAATCTTATATTCTTGTACGTGTCTACAATAAAACAAATCTATTCTACTTTTAGAAATTTACCTGTGATAACATAAACGTCACAAAAATACGCCACTTTTTGTGGCGTTGATACATTCGTGTGTCTTACAGTTTATAGTTCGTGGGTGGTGTCCTGGTGTGCTGTCGTGGATTCATGGGAGGTGTCCGTTGTTATTCTGTGGTTTACATGTTGTAATGTACTAACACTATATTATTTATTTATGTACTTCTCTGTCCTGAGTGTTCTTGTGTTTATTAGTACTGTATTCCTGTCACGTAATGTTGTCACTTTAGCGGTGTATTTAACATTGCCATATGAGCGGGAAGTTTGGCTAGCCATAATACCAGGTTCAACCCACCATTTTTTCTTAAAATGTCCTGTACCAAGTCAGTAATATGGCAGTTGTTATCAAATAGTCTGTTTCTATGTATGTTGGCGTTTGTTTTTTGTTACAGTTTAGTGTTTCTGCTGTTCCTCGGTTTTGGTTTGTGACCCGGATTTGTTTTCGCTTCATCGATTTATGACTATTGAACAGCTGTATACTATTTTCGCCTTTATTTCTAGCTTGTATTTATCCAATTTTAACCATATTTACGAGGAGGAGCATTCAATAGCGTGTTCTTGATAAAATATTAGTATCTCCAGTATAGAAAACATTTTCTACTGTTCTGTGTGGTATGTAGATTCCATATATTTTTTGGAAAACGATACAAAACACAGTCTCAAATAAAACAATACTTGATATTATTGATATGAAATTCCTGAAGTTTTTGTAAACTAGCAGAAAGTACTTCATCTACATATATGCCTCTTTGTATTTGTTTACTTTATGCTTATTTTATAACTAGTCAGTACGTCACCTATTATTATAACATTGAGATTATTTGAAAGAATAATCGGATAAAATGTAGAAAACGTTCCTCAGGCTTTGGAATGTGATAAAATAGTTCCCGTTCTATGCTGAGCAGTTCTATTTCAACCTTAGTTCAATTGTTTTTCTTTTTCAGCAAACGCTAATAAATCTATGACCTGTGGAATATGTCAATTTGTGTTAGCCAACCGATTCAAAGAAACTTTTCTTTACTTTCTAGTTCATATTCCAAAGCACTTCAATCGATCAGCGGTAGAGATTTTAATTATTATTTCTACAGATGAGCTCCCGTTTTTGCGCATCTTTTATTATAATAATGAAATCTGTATTAAACGAACATGTTTGTGAGATTAAGCAAAAACATTCAATAAGCACACCCGAAATATATATGAGAATTAATTCTAAATAAATTTCCGCTCGTATACATTTTGTAATATTTTGTTTTGCGCAATAGGTTTTCAGTAGTTCATGTACAATAAATTCAATAGATTATGATTTTATGATCAGTTATTCAAACAGGATGTATAAATTTACAGTCAATATTTCATTTGTATATTTGTTTATGACTTTCCTTGCACTTACGAACCCTGTTTGAAAATCAAGATTACTTGTCAATAAAATTTTAATACAATGTTTTCAGATGGCTGTTGAGCTGAAGTCGGTGAAAGCAAGCCATGTTTACTCTAATGGATCAGATTTCGACCAGATTCCAGTCAATCAACTATCATACCAAAATGAAGCATTTCAGACTGACAGGGTAACTTATTATTATTACATAAACCGTTAATAGCAATAAAAATAATTATAATGAGATATTGGTAAATAGTATTATGAAATGAAAACAAATAACAACAGAGCAAAGTTGTTTTTACACAATTTACAAATCATCATTTTCTTGTAAACATTACAAACGATGACAGTAGCAGGTTATATGAGTTTTGTGTAAAACGTGTATTAAATGTTGCTATATGTTCAATTTCCTAACTTACCAACCATAATCTTTTTCACTCGCTGAATTTGTATTTATAAATAAACTGTTTACAAAGTTTGATTTGTTCGAAATACTAAGAGTTTTCTACTTTAGGAATACATTACCTTAGCTGTATTTGGCAAAGCCGTTTGGAATTATTGGCCATTAATACTTTCCAACTTCGTACTTTATTTGGCTTTTAACTTCTTCTATTCGAGCGTCACTAATGGGTCTTTTGTAGACGAAACGCGCGTCTGATGTACAAAATTAAAAGCCTGATATCTTTGATGAGTTTTATGTTAATGCGCTAAGATAGATTGTTGTTTGCTTTACGTCCAGTGGCAAGTATTTCATGCATGTTTAGGATCAAAATAGACATGAGCTGTTCATGAAAAAAATATCCAAAAAATGAATGATATACAGAAAAGATTAACACAATGAACTGCAGTCAATGTGGCAAATTCAAATCAATTGTTATAAGACTCTATACATTTCATGCGAATTCGAAAAGACCGCATATATATATCCTGAAAAGTATTTTTTATTAAAAGTACTCATGACACTTTTTTTATGTTTTCCAGAATGATGATGATACTTCTGTTACAAATGAAAAAGTTCATATGCAGATCGAAATGTCCCATGAGAGTTATTCCGATTGTTGTTCCAAACCTACTTTACAGATACAGTCGGTGGTTTACGCTTGTCTGAGAAAGAACAAAACAATTATAAAATTTGTCTTTAAATTAGTATTACTTCTGGCATATTTATCTTATGTAGCGTATGCCATGTACTACAAATTTGGTGGAGAACCGGAGTGGAGGCTACTGATTTGTTCTGTTTTTGGTCTGATGATGATAACTGGATTCTGGTTTTCAAATCAATTTAAAAACAATATAAAAAATTGGAGACGTGATAGACTTGTACCTTTCTGTACCAGCTCTAGTACAGAAAGAGCTATGTTCCATCTCAAGTGGTATGTGAAGTAGAAGTGTCAATATTTATTTTACAGAAGTCCTTAATGCTTTACACGTATATATGTATATCCTACCGACTGTAGGTTTCAGATAATTGAATTGATCGTGAGACGTCACGTGCTGACTATATTTATTTTAAAATACACGGTGTGTACAAGAGTTATGTTCGTTCTTGACATTGGTCCATGTAAGACGAAATCTGCTTATTATACAAAGTATTAAAAGAAACTCATGTTTGTTTTTTTCAGGTATCAGATAGTTGGTAGGATATAAATATTATACAGTCCATGCATAAGTGAAATTATACGCTCTCGCCACATATAAATTTACTGACTGTGTATATACCATATTAAGTTACTAACGGCCTGTGTAATATCTAATACTATGTAATAATTTGCCTATACGGTACAAAATTTACAAGATATTGGTATTGTCAATAAAAACGTAACTGTTTTATAAACCATAAACATTATCAATTCGTGTTTAATAGACGTGTTACGAAATGGTATATACTCGACGCTGAGGTTGACAAATTAGACTTTAAATGCGGGTATCGTATCAAAACACAAAAGTGATTTAAAGATTTAAATTACCTGTGTATCAATTATATCTTGTGTTTAAACTGCATAGTAATCAGTGTATGTAATGTGCGAATCCTAAAATGTCATTTTTACTGTATCCGTCATGAATTTCTGATGTAGAATGATAAATAAACAGACGACAAATTCAAGATTTTTGAATAAAATAAGAAATAATATATAATGTGTACTGTTTTTATAAATTCATGATATAGGTATGAGATGCGGACGGGTTCTCATCGCGCCTACAGCCATCCAGGTGCAAAATTGATACACAAATAGATAAATATTAAGAATAGTTCACGAACAGAGCGTGCAAGAGATTTTAAAGTAGCAGTTAAGTTTCATTTGCAGAAAAATGTACCTTTTAACATAATTATTAATGTTGTTTAACTTAAAACAGGTTTTGTTATTCAGCTTGTTGATATTGAATCAAATTCCACTATGCTGTTTTCGTTATGCGATTCATGTTTACTGTCGAATAATGATACTAGACTTTCATTTTCACTGTAGGGCGATTCATTTCTATTGTATATGCGATGCATTTTCACAGAAGGAAATTAATTAATTTTCATTTTATAAAGTCTTAATTCAGCCGACTCTCTTACAAAATTTATGAAGTCAGAAGGATTGATTATATATACATACTTAGTGAGTGAAAGTCTGAGGTAATATATCAATAAATTCCTTAAACATGGTATTTATTGCTAATATATTCAATTCTATTTTCTCAAATAATTTGTCCTGATCTATATGTAGGATAAAATTTATTCTTTCCTATGACACCTCATCATTAAATACATATATCTTGGACAGTTAAGCCAATCCACGTCACCGGAAAAGCAAAGTTTCTGTTTCGGTCTAAATCTACATCGCATACTAATAAATTAAACGTCATTAGAGCTAATTTCCTAATGCTTGTAATTAAAAGATGTGGTTGGCCTTGATTGTGTAAATGTTGCCTAAGCATTGTTATTAAGACTGAGCAAATGTTAATACAAACAAGGCAAGCAAGCCAACCAAACCTTTAAACTACAAGCGCTAGGAAAATAGCTCTAATGGATGCATTTGAGATAACAAAGAGCATTCACAAAACGATCTTCATTTCACGATTGAATGAGTGGAAACGTTTTCATCTTGCACAAACAACTGACGCTTGGATGACTGGATAATTGATATTTATCATGCCATTGCGTATAAATTTTATACAGTAAAGAAAGTTCGAGCAACAGTCGAGTCACCTTAAATTTGCTTGAATTTCTTATAAGTCGGTGTTACAAATAAACCAATACGCAATTGTAAGTATACAAAGAAATATTAAAAACAGTTTATTGTTACATGTTTAAACGGTTTTATACCACGGGGTATGACCGCCGTACAGTTGATTTCGGACGTTAATCGCTACATCGCAAAGCAATGTTGGTAGATATACCGTTCTTATATTTTCACCAAAGACTAATTGACTAACTGTTCAGTTAAGAATTCAATGTTTATGAAAAAAAAGTTTACTGCTCCTGGCAGCATTGCATATCATTTATATTACATGAACACCATGTGACTATTTCAAATAGACAGGTCTGTGAATTACTTGTAAACATCGCGAAACAAACACTATGTGTAACTCAAACTTGATTAAACTACAAATAGAGCATAGTTGGTTGGCTCTTTCACTAAATGCGACCGTGTATTTTGTGCTTTGTTGTTGTTAAAATACATAATACGAATGAGAAACCCGTTGTTTTAATTCGATTTGAAGACATTTACTTGAGAAACTGACCTCAGAATTTTGACACTGTACGATTCATTCTCTTTGTAGTTTGTTTTCTTTCTTTAGTACCGTTCGTTGTACATTCTTGTACTGTTCGTTGTGCAAAAGCCTATCAATACGGTAGACATATGTATGACACGGCGTGACAAATGTTCAAAGCTTTTTTAAGCGAGTTATAAAACTTTTTCGAAGAAAATTCATCGTAGAAAAACGTTTTATTCATGGATGTTCTGCTCCAGTAAATTTTCGGATCCTTGACAAGCTAATAGCAAACCCACCAACAATATTTGAATATTCTTGATATGAACGTGGTTATACCCGTGTATATTCAAGTAAGCATCTACGACTAGCTTGCATTTCAAATTGTAAATATCATCAATATTAAAGTCATTTAAAAACTATTTTCAGTTGTTGTATGTCGAATAATCATATAAAACGACAATGAAAATTCATCGCACTTCCAAAAATTCCACATCAGAAATGATTGCACTTACAGTGATAATTCATCGCATCTATAGTTAAAATGAATCGCATTCAGTAATCAATATTATGGATTCTGCTGCTTAAATAACACTTTTTTGGACTTTAATCATGTTATTATACATTAAAAAGTTATATTCTAATGAAATTCTGTTAAAACATACATTCAAATTTATTATTTTGTATTTTCAAAAAGTAAACAAACGTAGTTTTTCCCATCATCCTTTATTCTACAATAGACATACTCGCATACAACAGTGAAAATGAACTAACTGGATTCGCACTTTATATACACTGGTAATGATGTCCGCGTATATTTATTTCTTTTAACAAACGTCCTTTTGAAAACTTTATCATAGATAATTTCATTATAAATATTCCTTATTGAATAAATATTCAATAATAAATATTCCTTGAAGAATAAAAATAATATACCCCATAATATTTCTTCCTTTTCATATTTTGGAACACTGACAGGAGGCGAGGTTATAGCAGAAAGGATATAAAATCCAGAAGGAAAGCCGACAAAAAAAGGAGTAATGAGAGAAAAAAATACCTCGCCAACCCTTAGAAATTAAAGCAACTTGCTATTTTTAATTTGTTTGAACTCAATAGTGACGGACATTTAATTAAAGGTGTGTTTACCCGTTGTCAGAACTTTTGGACGGGTTCTACAGACTTATCATACAATATTATGAAATTCAGCTTGCGGTCGGGTGACGTCCAGGCGAGCAGGATAAGAGGGTACCCGTTTTGAGTGATAAAGTCCTAACATCTAGGGCCTCACTAGTCCTTATTAGACGTTGAAAATGATTTTATATATAATAATCTGTTAATACCTACTCAGGAAAAGATTAATTTCGCTTATATTATATTATTTTCATGTAAAATGTGACTGGTTCGACCCAACGAAAAAGACATCTTAAACATATTCCTTCAAAGTTTTAAAACATTCCGCATTGTAATTTCTGAGGTCTGAAATTGTCTTACCCATTTGACCTGCCTTTCAAACAGTCCGAAAAGTACTCGCTGTCATATACACTCTAATGCATGTATTTTATTTGTCTATTTCTGTAACTCCAAGTCTTTACAAAAACAAAAAACAAAAAACAAAAAAGTTTAAACTTAAATTGTAAATTCCCTTGTAAGGGTGCTATGTAAAATGTGAGTCGCTTTTCGCCGGTTGCACATCCTCGACAACTACTTGGAAGGGTAGCATAAAATGCCCGAAGCGTTAGCGGTAATTGTCAGCAATTTTCGTGCCATTTTCGGACCAGACACGGAGCCTTGGGTGCAATTTTACTCAAGATACCGGCATTGCATACCTACACAGGTTTATGAGGACAATAGGAATCATATCTGGTTCACACGCAGTAGTTTCCTAGGTTAACAGGATGATGCTCAACAGTTTAATTTACTGCCAGGTATGACATTAGATTTCCACGGGATTTTGTCATTTTAGGTAAAATAAAAATACCGCATGTCGTTCTCCGTTCGTTATCCTCTATTGGCGCCATAAACTTAAAGCTACGTGTTGAACAAGAGCAGAAAGAATATAATGTAAAAAATAAACTTGCAATTGTCGTTTGGGTTTCAGGTATATGTGGAACACGCTATTAGGCGCTTAAAAACTTTCAAAGACAGTGGAAGCCTATGAAGACATCCGAAAAAAAATCAACCAGACTGTAGAGCTTTGTGCGGGTTTTGCAGAGATTGATTGAATGTTGTTTGTTTTTCGTCCAGTGACAAATATTTCATGCAGGACAAGGTTCTGTAGTGGAGTGACAGATTGATATCGTAATTAACAAAGTAAAACATCAAACTGGCTTATTATTTGATTTTGTTCAAATATAATTGCATACTAGAAAAAACCATTGTCCCCCTCCCCCGCAAACACGTACACCTTTCCCATCCTATGATCATAAGCAATGATATCAGAAAATGATTATTCTAAATTTTTGATGAAACAAGAAGTGTGTAGGATAACTGGTTAACATCACTCAAATTGAATTTTACCTGTTTTAATCGATAATCAATGTTTTGACAGAGTCCCCACATTTAAAATCTAATTTGTCAACCTCAGCGTCGAGTATATACCTTTTCGTAACACGTCTGATGAAAAGTTGTATGCATGATCATAGCCAATATTTAAAGACTCCAAGCTGGCTTTTTAAGTCAAGTGACTTAAAAAGGGTGATTTACACCCACCTCCCTTTTGAAATGACGCTAACAAAATTATTTGGGTTACTTCAAGTCTGAGTATTTTGTAATGCTTTGGAAAATGTTATTTACTAATTCACTATTTATTCTTTGAAATGTTCATACATTAATTCCACTTGTGATTAGTACGATTTGGATAGTCTGTGATCGGCAAACGTTACTCATGTTGGTGCCGTAGTTAATATAATCAAAGTACTGAAGTACTGAACATCGGATGACCACAAGTTCTTGAGGATGGTCAAAAGCACTTGTCTCAGAAAAAAACAACATATCTCTTTACCTGAAACTGAGGTTAATGTACAGAGATATATTTTTTTCTGAGACAAGTTCGTGCGTGGATAATGAATAAATGACAGGAAATTCAACTTCACCGTAATAACTATTATATTGTAGTGAGACAAATCAGTATACACTGATTTGTTGTTATATATTATATTAAAATAACAGTTACATATATATATGATTTGCATCCATTTGTATATCATTCTATTCTACTATTCTAATAATAGTGCAATGCAAGTGCATGGTGGACACTTTTCTGTAAAAATTCGATTTTTCTAAGATTGGATACGAGTAGGCATTCATATTTTCCCGCAAAAACAATTACAGAGTTACCGGTCCTTGCCGGTATTGTCGCAAAACGTTCTTTGAGATATTCTTCCGCATGCTTTAACACAATTTTTCGGTAAGTGTGCATTGATATTATCAATGGTTTTTTACTTATTTATATATATATCTAACTACAAAACATTTTCATATTACTAATTTATGTTGTAAACAAAAATATTTTTATCAGTATTCATTGAAGAGATGTATTTATATCAAACGATAAGGAATGTTATTTTGCACTCGTTTATGTGCGCATATTTATCATGTTTATAGATCGGTTACAAACCCAAAACTAATTTACATAATGGAAATCTAGGCGATAGCAATACATCGGAATGACCTCAAGGTCATCGCGATGTAAAAAAGGAGATGTGGTATGATTGCGAATGAGACAACTATCCACTAGAGTTCAAATTAAGTGGATTCAAGCAATTTTAGGCAACCGTGGCCTTCAACAATGAGAGAAACCAATACTAAGTATGCGGTTTTTAAAGGCCTTTGACATGCAAAATGTGAAACATTTCAAACGATAAAACTAACGACCTAATTTATAAAAAAAAACTTACAAAAACAAATATGACAGACATGAACCAACGACAACCACTGAACAACTTAATCCGTCATGTTAGTCCATATTTACCTACCAGTAAATGTCTCCCCATAGTTTCACTATAAATAAACGAAATAAGAGAGCTAGCGAAAAACAGATTTCCAAAAATTAAGTCATTTAAGGGTCTTCAAGATGGGAAAATCATGTACGACAATCTTTAAGCTCTGCGTTAAGACAAGTAAGCATATTAAGTTAAGTCCTAAATTTCTAAGTGTAAGAAAAATTAAAACTATACATCAACAACCACTGACGAGATTCCTGACTTTTGACCTCTCGTATGTGGCAATGTAAAAACAAATTTTGTGTTATGTATTATTCATAATCTACACCGTTCTTCTATTTTTCAGGATATTGAAAGTAGCTGTGTTTATTTTTATTGTGGTATATGTTATCATTAACGTTGCAATTGATCATCCTGATAACCTGATTGCAGCTGCTGGGATAGCTCTTTATATAATGGTCTTCTATGTCACATCAGTAAACCCTGCACAGGTCAGTGGGAAATCAAGTGACAAAATATTACCTCCCCTGTAAACACTGAAAACTAATAGCAGCTGCTGGAATAACTTTTTATATAATGGTCTTCTATGTCACATCAGTAAACCCTGCACAGGTCAGTGGGAAATCTAGTGACAAAATATCACCTCCCCTGTAAACACTGAAAACTGATAGCAGCTGCTGGAATAGCTCTTTATATAATGGTCTTCTTTGTCACATCAATAAACCTTGCACAACCTTGCACAGGTCAGTGGGATATCTAGTGACAAAATATTACCTCCCCTGTAAACACTGAAAACTGATAGCAGCTGCTGGGATAGCTATTTATATAATGGTCTTCTATGTCCCATCAGTATACCCTGCACAGGTCAGTGGGAAATCTAGTGACAAAATATTACCTCCCCTGTAAACACTGAAAACTGATAGCAGCTGCTGGGATAGCTATTTATATAATGGTCTTCTATGTCCCATCAGTATACCCTGCACAGGTCAGTGGGAAATCTAGTGACAAAATATTACCTCCCCTGTAAACACTGAAAACTAATAGCAGCTGATGGAATAGATCTTTATATAATAGTCTACTATGTCACATCAGTAAACCATGCACAGGTCAGTGGGAAATCTAGTGACAAAATATCACCTCCCCTGTAAACACTGAAAACCTGATTGCAGCTGCTGGAATAGCTCTTTATATAATAGTCTTCTATGTCCCATCAGTAAATCTTGCAGAGGTTTGTGCTATGATTAGCTATCAGTTTACAAATACATTTAAATTTGTTCAACTTCATTTATAAAATGAAAGAGAAAAAAAATAAACATACGAGACATTTTTTTTTAGGTGTAGAAATACTACTGAACCTAAACTCCATGTTTAATTTATTTACCGTTGTACATTTTAAAAGCAATATTTATAACACCATACTGCAAGCAGTAGTTTATTTAATTGCGTATTTTATACTACCGGTTTACATTCCAGACAGATCTCCATATACAGAAGATGTATTAGCTGTATCCTCTATACAAAGACTTATTTATGATGAGGAAGCTATTAACGTATAAGTTGAAGTATAAAAATATTTACTTTCGACCATGGTCTTGTCTTCGTCTTTTTGACTGAAGAATTTCAATTGGTCCGTGGTGGCTTATTTCCCTACATATACTTACATTGCAATTGCTTTTTTCACGTCTTTTTAATTGCTATCATTTCTGAAGCAAAGATAATTGAAACTCTTTCGATTGGGATAAAAATGTAATATCAAAGAAGAAGAATGCAAGTCAGTTAGTCTGGATTCAAATTAAGTAAAGAAATGTGCAACAATCAGGAAGAGAGAATATTTGTATAACAATCATATAGGATTTTGTTGCAAGTATCCTTTTCGAAGTAAATGTTTCCAGATCATATTTTATTATAGGTAGACTGGCATCCAGTATTCTGGGGACTTGCATTACAGTTTATTTTTGCACTGATTACATTAGAAACTCAATGGGGATACGATGCTTTCAAGTGGGTTGGTGATAGAGTAACTGAGTTCCTGGTGTACAGTGATGTAGGTGCTGAGTTTGTCTTTGGTAGTGTGTTCGCTGAACATTTGTTTGCTTTTAAGGTATGTGTGCATAATGAAGTAATGGAATAACTTCAATCTTCATATTTTAGTCTTTTTTGGGGGGTCCCAAGTTTAGTGCAGTGTTTTGTTTACTTCGCCCTTTTTATTTTTGTCATAATGTTATATGTCTTTCTTTGACTTATGGTATTTAATTGTTCCCTTGGTATTTACTTAACTCTTTTTCTTATATTGTGTATAATGAAGCCCGACTGTGTGTTTTTGTTTTTGTTAATGGGAAAAATAACATATTTTAAATTCGTAGGATATCGCTTAATTCCGGTTGAAACCATATTTTTCATGAAAATTTACTTTTTATAGTCTTTCAACTGTTTACTTCACCACAACGGGTAAAGATAATCCATCCTTTAAACGAATTCTATAGTTACAAATACATTAGGAATTCCAATGAATTTATTACAGAAGTCTTTTATTTTATTTCCCTGCCTTTATTTCAAAAAATGGTTTATTTTAGGTCATGCCAGTAGTAGTTTTCATGGCAACAATTATATCGATTCTCTACTATCTTGGTGTTATACCATTCCTGATTAAACATGCGGGAAGATTCCTTGGATTTTGTATGGGAACAAGACCGGCAGAGTCACTTAGTGCTGCAGGAAATATTTTCCTTGGAATGGTATGTTGGTTGAGAATATTTATATTTATATCGGGTCTATTGATACTTGTTCTAGGATAGGAGCATGTGTGTGTATGGCTACAGATATCTCTGATTGATAAACACTGTCCGAAGTAAACATTTATTTGTATGGTTTCTGAAAATACCATATGCCAAACATTTTCGATGAACTCAATACGATATACAGACGGTTCTATCAAGTCGTTTCGGGCTCTTGAAGAATATTAATAATTGAAAATACTATCAAGATTGCCCCAAACTTTAAAGTATTTGGTTATTAAATTTCTGCGGCCTGACATTGTAGTTTATTTAATCTTTCAACTGGAGCAGCTACCTAAGTTCCTCGGTCATCCGAGGAAAATATAATCCATAAATCATAGAAATTTCATCGAGTTCTTCAAAGTTAAAAGTATAAGAGGAACGATTTTTTCATTGTAAAAGGTAGGGGGGAGTCACTGACTTGTTAAACATACACATCATTTTTTAAATACCGGGTATAAGTGTAGAATTTCTAAGGGCAAATACATGCTCTGAAATAAAAACGGGAGACTTTCAAGTCCGTTACCAACAGGCGAAACTGAAGATTATAGCTAGATCAATACTTCCATAACATCATCTTTTGTATTGCATTGTAGGCAAATCAAGTCATTTATACACTGATAAGTTGATGAAATTCGGATATCTGAAGTCACTATTTCTTTTATAAATGTTTGAAACAACAACAAAAATATTTCTATCTTTTGTCTAAATCGTAGCTAATGCCCCTTTACCACTGTAATTAGATCTTTGAATATTGTTTTTATCAGTATAAAAATTGATTTTGCTATCAATAAATTAAAACTCATTTAAGCAACTAAATATTATTGCTGTACACCTATGAACATTCACGGTCCTTCTTTATGTCGATACCTATATTTTTGCATTGCAGAAGATCATGTTTTTCTCTGACTGTTAATGACATTAAATTTAATCTATTGGATGATGGATTTGTACTGATTAGTATTTTAGTCTTAGATACATGATTTTTTTATTAGTTGTTTTAAATGACTTTGGTTTTGGTAGCAGATACATGTGGTTGTAGTTATTGATAATTTTGTAACATGTTATATGCTCAGAACGATTTTAGCTTGACACTTACCAATTGTTTAGATCTTATGTTGACCTCAAATGTCTATTATTCCGGTTAGTGTGTAGGGTATTGAAGAAAGTCATGCATTCCCTGAATGGTGATCCTGTCGCCTTAGTCAAGATGATACGTCATAGGGTCTTAGGCCTTATCAGACTATATTTGTAGTGTATATAGCGCTATAAACTGTCATAATATTATATTTTTGTTCATTTTGTAGACAGATTTACCACTAATGTTACGACCATTCCTCAAGGATCTAACGAACTCTGAACTGCATGCTATATTGACTGGAGGGTTTGCAACTATAGCAGGGAGTGTACTTGGAGCTTACATTAGCTTTGGTGTAAGTTCATATGGGTGATTACTGAGATATATTTCACTAACTGAAACCAATTAGTTACTTTAACAATTTACGATTGGTTTCTTTGTATTCCCCATTATGTATTAGCGCATAAGTAATTCATATGAATTGGAAATAACCAGCATCAAGTACATTGCACTATTATCAAAAAGGGAACAAATTAATAAACGAAATATCGAATACAATTAAATGAATACACGACACGGACTTGAAGTGCATTGATATTTTTGCACCTGTGACTATTCCCTTTCGGAATCATGTATCAATACACTCGTCATAGATACCAGAATTAAATTGTTGTACGCCAGACGCGCGTTTTGTCTACAAAAGACTCACCAGTGACGCTCGAATCAAAAACTTTAAAAAGGCCAAATAAAGTACGAGATTGAAGTCAAATGTTCAGCTATAACGTAAATAATATACACACTTTCAAATTGATCATTAATGAAGTATACAAATTACCGATCACAGTTAAAAGTTTTTGTTCTTAGGTACCTGCTAATCACCTTCTAACAGCATCCGTGATGTCAGCGCCTGCAGCATTGGCATTGTCTAAATTGTCATACCCGGAACTCGACAGGTCCCATACATCTACAACTGATTACTCTAAAATAGCCAAATCGTAAGTCAATACCCATGTTTCATCAGTCATTATGAGAATGATATTGCGCCAATCAAAAGAGAAAAATGTAAATAACGATAGCTCTGAGGCTTAGCAACGAAATTTATAAAGACAAAAGTTGTTTAAGCTGATACAATATTTTTCTATGTCTCACTGTATAACTCATGCTTTGGGTTTTTTTTTCTGACGGTTTCTAAAGTATTCTATGATGATATAAGAATATATTGCAATGATATTATAATCAAGTGTTTGAAGTGGAAAAAAATATCTGAACTGAAAACAATTCGAAAATGAACAAAAGGAGATGTGGAGTATGACAATGATACAGCAACCTAGCTGGGGGGAAAACACACACACACAAAGGATAAAACTAATTTGGAATTCAAGCATGTCTTTTTTTCTAGTTTACAATATTGTTTACATAGGGAATTTATTTTTCTTTATTTTGAACATTTCTTATAGTGCGGATAGGAATATTTTTGATGCAGCTACTCATGGAGCCACAGTCTCAGCAAAACTTGTCGCTGCAATTGTTGTCAATGTTATTGCATTTTTGAGTTTACTAGAATTTGTCAACGTTACCTTGATTTGGTTCGGAGAAAGAGTTGGAGTAGACGATTTCACTTTAGAGGTAAATAATCGTTTAAAATCTGCTCTATCATTACACTGTTATGCTAAAGAGAGGCGAAAGATACCAAAGGCATATTCAAACCCACAAGACGAAAACCAACTGACAATGACATTGCATAATACGAAAAACGAAGAAAAAAAAAACAGTACACAAAACACAACATAGAACACTAAAGACCAAGCAACATGAATCCCACCAAAAACCGGGGGTGATCTCAGATGCTCTGGAAGAGTAAGCAAATCCTGTTCCACATGTGACACCCGTCGTGTTGCTCGTGTAAGTACAAACCCGGTGATAAGTCTAATATGGTAGGAATCATTCGAGGATAAGAAGACGGGATTGTGGTAACGACAATTGGAACATATCCCACGTCATATGTAAAACATATATGTCATAACGGTCAACCAACTCGTGATGGCGTCCTTAAAATTTTCAGTGAGATGATTTCAATAGCTTCCTTGTAAGCAGCAACCCTCTATTCTTAATTATAAAATGAGCTAACCCGAAATAATTAACTGTTGCAATCATCTTGTGTGATATTGAGGTGGTCGACCTTCACACTTATACACAATATTTTTAAGAACAGCACACAACTTCGAATAAAAAAAGCAGTTAGAACGTTTTACAATTTGATTCTAAACATCTTTCGAATAACACCTCACGCAAAAATCTTCAGTTTGGAAGTGGGACGGTAGAAGTTTTTAAGAAGGGGACGACCAAAAAAATGTAACGGAAACAAAACTTATCAACAGGCAATTAATTGGATAATTTTGTTTTACTTCAATTTACTAAATATATTTTGATTTTTCAATGGTTTTATACTTTTACGTTAAAGCTATGTTGATACATTGCATATATATATATATATATATAATAGTATTATCTTTTTTAGTTCATGTGTTCCTACCTTTTTTATCCTATTGCATACTTCATGGGAGCAGATGTTCCAGATTGTCGCCAAGTAGCAACACTTGTGGCTAAGAAGACATTCACAAATGAATATATAGCTTATTTTGACTTGGCAAAGATTATAAGCAATAGAAAAGAATTAACAAAATTCATCGCATTTGACAACAGCAGCAGTTTAAATTGGTGGTGGAATAATAATGATGTCATATATAACAATGGGACACAAAACATTACACTGGAACTAGGAATAATGTCGGTAAACACATTTGTTATTATTATCATAATTAAACATCATGTTTTTAAAAATGCCTGTTCAGTAATACGAGGTTAAGATTCTATTCTAACACTGCGGTAGGAACCTACGACTACCAGATATGAATAAAAGGAGACGTTGGGTATGCATAAATGAGACAGCAACACAACAACGAAAAAATATTAAAAAAAACATCTTAAGGACTCTAACACATGGTCCAGCGGGTAACAAATGTTTTCATTTTGCCTGCTCGAATTAACTTATAAAAAACTGACAATACAAAAATCAATAACTAAAAAGACAATAATAAAAGGGTATTCAGTATAATAAATTAACACAAAGCTACGCGGGTGACAGATATGATTATTACCCCTAGAACAAATGTTTTCAACCTACTTTTCTCGGGGCTATGATCTAGTCAATCACCCTTTCAGCTGTGTTTTATTTGCTTAAGAATCTTGACATGATCTCAGATACCACTGCGATAGGAACCTACGACTACCTTATATAAATAACAGGAGACCTGGGTTATACATAAAAAATACAGGAACACAAAAAACAAGGACTACGTACAGCCTTCAACAATAGACAGGTGTCTGTTTACAATATCAAGTTATAAATAATCTAAAAGAAAAAAAAATACTGAAATAAACTACCAACTTAAAAAACAACATTAAGTTAAGACAGAAAATATGCTAGTTCTAAACATAACCTATTTGTTGCTGTAGTTTTTATGTATTCTAATTTACACAAGGACAAATCTGAAGTCGTTGCGACTTACGCCTTATGTGGATTTGCTAATTTTGGATCAATGGGAATTCTACTTGGAGCATTGAGTGCCTTGGTGCCATCAAGAGAAGCTGATATCACTGGTATGATACTGAGAGCTATGATAACGGGGAATGCAGCTTGTTTCCTGACAGGAAGTATTGCAGGTACGACTGATGATGACTTCTCAAATGCCTTTGCAACACAATTGTATATGATTAACCGTTGGGTGAAACGCTTATTGGATAGATTTTAAACTGTAAATAGAGATTTCCAATAAAATGACATACTTACGTAACTCGACGTACGGACCTAATGGGACTGGTTATTGTCAACCATTGAATTTGATTAAAAACGTCGCTCAAGTTTAAACAAAAAATTCCAAGACTTTTAAAATCACAAACTGGAATTTTCTTCCATATAAAACAATTTCATCAAGACGAAAAATGATAGAAATCTTGCAATTTTATTTATCACGTGGTTTTCCAGATTCCCGCCTTTATTTTCACTGACATAAGATCACGTATAAACACACGTATCTCATACCTATCATACGTACGATTAGAGTTATCTTTCATGGTTTTGATTATGACAATTATTTTTCAATATATTTTGCAGATGAACGTTACATTATACTTTTTTCTGTCTTTCTTTATCTATCTTTTTATTAATTTTGTTGCGGGGGAAACATTTAGAAGGATATTTTTCTGTCAATTTCAGAAATATCGAAACCAGAGTTTGTCAGAATCTGTCTCTTTATAAAAGTTGAAAATTGAGATAAAACTATCACTTCCATTTAATTTCTAAACAAAAGTATTTTTCTTTTTTTCCTTTATTATAAAATGTATAGATTAAAAAAATCCCTATATAGGTTGTTTTTTAGAAAGTGTGTTCGATTAGGGATTGTTCTGTATTGTTTTGTTTAACTGGAATGCTGTCAGAGTCCAAATACAAAAGACATTTCAAGGCAATTTTTATTATATCTCTTGAAGTAAATTTACTTATATTTTATCCATTTTATTGATAAACAATTAAAAGGGGGTCACCGAATTCATTTTACTGAATAAATCATTAACGGAAATTTGTATGGTACGTAACATTGAACATCATAATATAATAAGATTTCGTTGCCAGATGCGGGCCCAGGATTTTGAAATGGGGATATAGGCAACATTAGAAGTGGAACATTAAATATAAGTATTAATACATTTGAAGGATGTAGGGCCATATATATAAGTGTTCATTGCATATGTATTTTACATATGCATATTTAGGACGAGAAGATGAAGATGAACCAGACTTTGTATTATACCGCAGGAAGACATGTCATCCTACCCAGACACATGATTTTGACTCCGGACCGATCAATCAATGCTCTAACTCCTAAATATTGCGTGCTTGGTAGAGAGGCAGCTAATCTTTGATTTGAAACGGGCTAGGATCGAGCCCAAGACTTCACGCACCCGAGCAGTGGTGAAGCTTTCATTGACGCAATGAGGCAAGCGCCTCATCAATTTTTTGACCATTAAAAAAGACAGACAAAGCGAACTATATACCGTGTACTTCATAGTATAAAGTATACTACTGAGTGACGACGGTTCTAAACGTTGACTGTTTTACTCTTTACTCAATCTTTCCTCATATTTACGTCTTGAAAACTTTCTTTCATGTAAGGTAGATGCAAATATCTTTTTTAAGTAAAGAACAAAGTATACCTCGCAAAAAAACTGATTCAAACAAGAGGTCATAACTGTGAAACTGATATGAATAGATGCTTGATTTTTTTTTACAACGAACTTGTTACTTTTGGTAAACATAGTTTTCAACAGACACTTGGCATTCCTACATTTTATGTAGTACTTCTTCTAACTTGGTTAATATAAGCAAGACTTTATGGTTCACCCAATTTATTATCATCCATTTTTTGACAAAAACTAAACGTATAAAGTTAAAAGACATAGTGGATCTTAAACTTAATATTGCCCAATCTGTACAAATGCATTTTAGAGGAGGTCATACATATAATTCTGTCAATTATTTTTGTTTTGATCAGGACCTGTCGGTAACTGAATACTGAGAATTAAATCTTCAACCAGCAGTTTCATTGAAATATATTGATTTAATGCGCACTAGAAATATTATTAAATTATTAATAAACTCCACAAATCTGGATTTTTCAATGACAGGTTCTTTTTGCCAGTGTGTGACCTATCAAGAGTATGATCACCTACACATATTTTGCGATTCATATTTTCAATTAACCGTCCACTCCCTATTGACATTGACGTTTTTTTACCAGGGTGAGGCTTTGACTGCCAAAATTCAAATCATTTGCCTCACCAGAAATAAAATTCAAGTTACGCTAATGACGATTGATTGATAGTTGGTTGCTTAACGTCCATTGCCAAAATTTCAAGCATAACTAACGTGCAGAGAGCTTGGCATTCTCTCTACAAGAGGCATCGGATTTAAAGTCCCCACTCTGACCGGACGGAACTGCGTACATTGTACATCCCGCACAACCAAACGGACTCCCCACTTTGGCAATGGTTTAACTGCCGATCGGAACAAGACCAATAGTGACCATATTCCTATTCCCCGATCACCCTTGATGGGTTGCTGTCGAGGCGAGCGCGCTACCACAAGACCAAAGAGACAGTTATGAATATGGAAGATACATATACATGTACATGTATTAATCAAAACATTTGCAACAAGAATGTGTGGCCTTAAGACACCGTGCCCCTTCACATGATCATATTTCCATGTTCAGTGCACCACTTAATCCGGGTCAAACTCTAATTTGGTATATGACTTCAAACGTTTGATATTTTGAACAGAACGGAAGAACGGACGGCTGCGCAGACCAGTAAATATAATATCTCCTTGCTATCATAAGTTGGTCATAAAACTAAAATTATCATCCTACTTAACTAAACTTTAATCAAATATTCCGTACATGTTCGTTTTTATACGTATTTGTACAAGTTAAACGCCAAACATTTTAGAAAAACAATTTAAGAGCAGTGACGGTAAAAAATTACGCATACGTTTGTACGGGCTTTTCCGAGATTCCATGCATCATTATAAACACAAGATATAAAAACATTAACTGATTCAGTAAAGTGTAGTCATATATTTTCTTGAAGATGTCTCCTCATAAATTCCATTTGATAAAATTCTACTGATCAAAGTACTACCAGAAAGATGCAACAGTGGTCTTAATTTCTACCTCTGACAAAAGTATTTAGAAAAAAAATATAGAAGTATGCTAAAAAAAAAAAAAAGAAGCAAGTCGTGTACACCTTTTACATTCCGGCGTGTTAGAAACTCCTGTTTTAATCTTATAACTTTTAAATCAAAAATGAGAATATGATCTCGCTTCAGATTCCATTATTTCTATTTTTTCAACTTAACTTTGATTTAGTAGCTTTAAAAATTCATCGTTTGAGAGATAAATATATGGGTCAAGTGAAATGACGAAGTAATGATCGGTGCATTTGATTACCGGTAACTGAATTATTCCCTTAAAAGGTTGTTGTCAATGAAATCATCCCAAATTTAATAACAAAATATGTAAAGAATTAAAGTAGCAGTTTGTTATAATTTTTAAATAGCATCTATTCCAACAAAGTATGTGTATTCAACGAGCCAAAAATTAATGCAGTCTATGCTCTCCTCCGTCATCCTTCAATGCAATAGCAGAGATACGATCAGATAGGTTGGTTATGTCGAGTAATGTCATTTTATTTGAAATCTCTATTGAGACATTTCTTTCATTTACATACAGAGAGAAACACTTTATTTTTAACTTAAGCAGGAGAAGTCAATTCATTACACAATACATACATATTCAGGACGTCAAGTTCACAAATCTGACCGGTGATTTTCTACTTTAACAATGTTTCTAAAAGGATTACCCAATTGGAATTTAGTTTTTGTGTTGTGTTAGTATACTTCCTATAAATCATTTTCTGTATTTGAAAGTAATCTGTTTCAAATAAATTGTATCAATTCTAGATTTAAAAAAAAACAGGGTGTTATTGGTCAAAAGAGAACTGTTTTTACATTCCAAGATTACAAGAAAACAAAAAGGACGACTCTTGGGCAGATGAATATCTAAATGAATAAATTTACAGATTGGTATAGGATAACCAATTTTACATTAAGTTTCCAAGCACTGTATGACTGGTTTTAAGTTGAAAATCCCCATCGACCCTGTTACCGTACCTGTGTTTCAGTATGGACATGTCTCCATCATCGCTAGTAATCATATACGTGTAGTGTAGTAAAGCTTTGGTTGTTACTCCGCAGGCAAAGTTGACTTAGGGTGGTTATTGTTCTTTTCCTTAAGTTATGTTTTAGGCTTTTTAAAGATTTAGTTAATCTGGCCGAGCAAACTATTTTCTAGAGCATATAATATATCAGTCGGGTGCACTGAAATCGATATCACAATTCTAAGTTTATGTAAAAGAGGGACGAAACATACCAAGGGATATTCAAAATCATAAGTCGAAAATAAACTGACAACGCCATGGCAAAATAAAGAAAAAGACAAAATGACAAACAACAGTATACCCAAAACAACATAGAAAACTGAAGACTGAAAATGTAAATAATGTCATAATTATTGCTTGAACAATCAAAGTACAATGTACGTGTTACTGTTGAAATAACAATTGTACACTAAATTTGTTCCATTTGGTTACCAATAAATGATTTAAGAAAATAGAAAAATGCAGAAATATCTCACTTCATATGCGACACACACCGCATTGACCAGTGGTCAAAAATAGGTTAGCCTTAAAAGGAGATGTAGGGTATAAGATGAGACAGCAACCAAACGACAAAAATATCCAAAAGACATCTAAAGGGAAACATGCAGTCTTTAGCAATAGACACGTGTATTTATAAACAAGTTCTTAATCATCCCGACTGTATAAAAGTTGTGAATACATTTAACAGAAACAATTAAAGATCAGCTGTTGACGCCGAACTTGTGTTCTTTTTTTTATATACGACCAATAGTGAAAGCTACAATTGCGCATCAAAAAAGCATATTAAATGAACAGAAGAAAAAGGAATTTGAACACATTTCGATTCACTAATAATGTTCTCTGAGATATATGCAAAATTTTATTTCTTTTTCATGTTTTCTTTTGATAGGCCTTCTTTATAAAGGATGACTCCTTTTAAGTTACAGCCTCCGCTACGAGTTCACTAATCAAACAGACTGGAAATAATTTTAAAATCGATCTATTGAGGTAGAAGCAGTGGTAAAAACTATCTTTTCCGTTTTATGTTAGTTTGTTATTTACAATGTATATAAACATTAGTAATAAAAGTCTTTAAATATTCATTTTATAGGAAGTTTCAAGTATAAAATTCTTGTATTGTGAAAATATTAAAACATTAACGAACCAAAAATACAATTTAAACATCTTTTGGACAGTTTAACACAGAAGATGATCATTTGGAAATACAATGTAATTATGGTCACAATAGGTATGGTAACATTCAGTATAAATATGAATCTATCTATTCTAAGGAAAATTGGAATCGGATTTTGATTGTATAACTTTAGAAGATATGTTAGAGCATATACAATCAAAGTCCATCTATTCACACAGTACATTAAAACAATTGTTTACTCTATCCTTTACACAACTACTCTTCAATTTTAAGATAAGAAATAGGCAAGTAAAAATGTAATGAAAATCATAGAAAAGAATGCATAACTTAGATACAAATATTTTACCACAATATAAAAAACAGTTATATCGCAAAAGTTCTGTAAAATATACAACCGCAAAAAATGCAAAATTTTCTGGTCGATAACATTTTTTTAAATCTGTGTTTTAAAAAAAAACCCGTTTGTTTATGGAAGACAAATGTAAATGTCTTCTCTTCCTTCTGAATTGTAATAATAAGTGACATGCCACGCTATCTTCACGTTTAAAAAACCCTTGAAACAACTCTTTGATTTGTGCACAGGTAGCCTGATGCCCCTATCAAACAAACCTTCATTTATCAATTGCAGTCAAAATGTTCCGCCTTTCATCCCTCGCGACCCACTTTTCAGTTACTACCCATTATTTTAATTGTTAATTCGCCTCCCGAATATGCATAAAATATTACCCACTGGTCGTTAATCGACTAGCAATAAAACAATAAATGTATTGAGTTTGTAACAAACTTCTGTGCTTTGTTGATGCTTATCTTATGGCATCGCACAGGGACATACTGTTCTTAGACGTGTTATGACATGTTTTCTCTAGTTCAGTTACAGATGCAATTTCAATGACTGCAATAATTCTTAGACCAGTAATTTCTTTTTTGTTTTTTAGTTGTTTCTGCGCTTAGTGGCGATTTAATTGCCAATGATTTTTTAAAGTTTGTTTTAAGATTGTGCTGTTACACCACCACTGTTAAGGGAAAGTTTAAAGTTTGCAAACATGTTTAACGCACCTACAACATTTTTTTACACAAACAGACTAAGAAATGACTACATTTTTTGTTTTGGAGTTTTACAACTTTATGATGGAACATTTCAGAAACACCTGTACATGTACCATGCTTATGCAATGTCCAACAGCTTGTGTTTTTAGCAAAAATCATTTATACAAGATTGATGTCTGATTAAGACGATTAAATATAAGTCCAGAATTGTAATATTGAAGTAATTACTTGGAAAGTTTGACCATCGTTATCATAACGAAGTTGACTGCAATAGGATACATGTATTACTGATGATGAATTTCAGTTTTCGTGTTTTTGTTTTGTTTCTTTTAAAAACTTAAAAAAGTTAAACCAATTACAACTATTCGTCGGATTTCTACATTCCATGAGCAACACAAAGGGTGTCATTAGTAGAACTTGAACTGAAAATTCAGATACGGGGTGGGGGGAGGTAAACGTGTGTGTAAGCGTTCAATCCTCCACAAAACACTACATAAAAACCTAAAGTAAAGACTGAGCAACACAAACCCACCAAAACAATGATAATCTCAGGCGCTCCTGAGGGTAATGAGATCCTGATCCACTAATAAAATCCGTCACATTGTTCATTTTAAGTAAAAATTCTGTGTCAAGTCTCATTCGGTGGATCATTATCGAGGAACAAAGGATGGGATAAAGGTTACGACAGTTGGAACATATCCGTGGTCATCTGTAATACAGATAGTTCTTAGAAATCAACCAACCCGTGATTGCATCCGTAAACCTATCCAAGAAATGACTTCAACGTAACTACCTGGTAAAATAAAATAACCGCAATCAATATTTTATGAACAGTATTGCACCGCAAAGATCTAATCTGGAAATAATAGTCTGTTCATTGCCCTTCAAATCAAAATAGCCGTTTCAGTTTTAACGTGTTTAAACGAATGCATAAAACGCGCATCCAGCTGAGCAGAAACAGTACATTTTACTACGAAAATTTGACCGTCACCATCAAGAATAAGTTGACCGATACTATGTCTCTGTGCCTCAACTCACGAGTGCCCTGTCTTTGAATTCTCAGATCTATAAATACCACAATATTCGTCTGATCTGTAACTTAAGCGACTGTGTCCTATTCATTATTGTAACATTTTTGGTTAGTTTTGATTCGCATTATTGGAAATGCATGCATAGCAGGAGGTTATCCTGACGACACACCGGTCTCGATCCGTTTAGAGTTCTGCGATTCCCTCTGAGTTTTGATTTGCGTTGTAAACTCGGAAAAGATTTTCCTTTTTTCAACATCGTTATACAGCTGTTGCCTCATATTTACTTTGATTTACTACCGTACCATCGATACAACCGTTGATGGACATATTGCTCCTACTACTACTTGATGTTTCAGCATTGATAATGATTTGACATGCTCAGGCAAATTAACTTTGACAGCTTTGGATGTCCTTTTTTAGTCGCTGTTGACAAAAAAAAGTAAATTAACAAAAATACCGAACTACAAGGATAATTCAAAACAGAAAGTCCCTTATCAAATGGCAAAATGAAAAGCTCAAACACATCCACATCAAAGGAATGGAAAACAACTGTCATATTCCTGACTTGTTACAGGCATTTCCTTTTGTAGAAAATGGTGGATTAAACCTGGTTTTATAGCTAGACAATATAGCTTCCACAGTATTATTTACTGCTCTTTGGTCTCCTCATATTTCCACTTACTGTTCATAATGAAATATTAACCACTAATACGCAAGAAACGTATTAAAATTGATTGTTGAAGTTAGCCATGCAGTCTTAGTTTAGATCACTGACCATTATCGAATATCTGTATCACAGATGACCACGAGTATGTTCTAATTGTCGTAGCCATTCTCTCGTCCTTTTTCTTCGATTGTGACATCACCGAATGGGACTTCACACCGAATCATTACTTCCAATGAGCAACACAACGAGTGCCACATGATTGATGCGGTTCGTGTTGCTCAGTCTTTTGCATTTTTTTTTTTGGGGGGGGGGGGGGGGTGAGGTAGGAGGAGTTTGCGGACTGTTGTTGGTCTTATACGTCATTTTTCAATTTTGCCAGGATTTTGTCGGTCTCACATTAAATTGAACGAGTTTTGATTCTCTTTTTGATATCTTCTGCCTTTTTTTTACTTAATTTTTTTTCAAGTATTCGTTGAAATTTCTGCAGATAGTTAAAAACTATTTTTTACATTTTGACAAAATAAATCAAGGCCAAAGTTGACATTTTCATACCTTTGATTGAAACATTCCGCTTCCGACCACTACGGTATCGGTCGGCCATAGTGTGTGCATTTGATGAATTTTCCTAAAATATTTGCATTTGCTGCTGAAAATTGTCTTTTTCGGTACCACTAACAATGGAAGTACTTTAAAGGCGTTTTTATTATCTCCATGCTTTGACCATTTGCCAATTAAATAAATCATTTAATTCTAGACAATAGGAAAACATTTCCAACTTTGGAACTTTAATTATATATCGTGTCAAAAGATGCAACAGTTTATATGTAGTAGTGTTCTGATGTATTTTTCCCATCCATATATGTGGCTTAATAGGACCCTTAATATCCCTCCCCATCCTGTACAAAATAATTTCATATTGAATGACTGATCGTTTTGAAATGATGAACGTGAATCACAACTTGATTTAAACTCTTTGGCTTTGCAATAATTTTGCTTGAACGTCCCTGTCGAAGTTTAACCAAGAAAAGCACTTTGGACGCACGAAATTTATAAAATGTTTTCATTTACCAGCACCAAGTCGATACCTCTACTGTCATATTCCTGACTTGGTACAGGCATTTCCTTTTGTAGAAAATGGTGGATTAAACCTGGTTTTATAGCTAGACAATATAGCTTCCACAGTATTATTTACTGCTCTTTGGTCTCCTCATATTTCCACTTACTGTTCATAATGAAATATTAACCACTAATACGCAAGAAACGTATTAAAATTGATTGTTTAAGTTAGCCATGCAGTCTTAGTTTAGATCACTGACCATTATCGAATATCTGTATCACAGATGACCACGAGTATGTTCTAATTGTCGTAGCCTTTCTCTCGTCCTTTTTCTTCGATTGTGACATCACCGAATGGGACTTCACACCGAATCATTACTTCCAATGAGCAACACAACGGGTGCCACATGATTGATGCGGTTCGTGTTGCTCAGTCTTTTGCATTTTTTTTTTGGGGGGGGGGGGGGGGGGGGTGAGGTAGGAGGGGTTTGCGGACTGTTGTTGGTCTTATACGTCATTTTTCAATTTTGCCAGTATTTTGTCGGTCTCACATTAAATTGAACGAGTTTTGATTCTCTTTTTGATATCTTCTGCCTTTTTTTTACTTATTTTTTTTTCAAGTATTCGTTGAAATTTCTGCAGATAGTTAAAAACTATTTTTTACATTTTGACAAAATAAATCAAGGCCAAAGTTGACATTTTCATACCTTTGATTGAAACATTCCGCTTCCGACCACCACGGTATCGGTCGGCCATAGTGTGTGCATTTGATGAATTTTCCTAAAATATTTGCATTTGCTGCTGAAAATTGTCTTTTTCGGTACCACTAACAATGGAAGTACTTTAAAGGCGTTTTTATTATCTCCATGCTTTGACCATTTGCCAATTAAATAAATCATTTAATTCTAGACAATAGGAAAACATTTCCAACTTTGGAACTTTAATTATATATCGTGTCAAAAGATGCAACAGTTTATATGTAGTAGTGTTCTGATGTATTTTTCCCATCCATATATGTGGCTTAATAGGACCCTTAATATCCCTCCCCATCCTGTACAAAATAATTTCATATTGAATGACTGATCGTTTTGAAATGATGAACGTGAATCACAACTTGATTTAAACTCTTTGACTTTGCAATAATTTTGCTTGAACGTCCCTGTCGAAGTTTAACCAAGAAAAGCACTTTGGA